AAAGAAGACAGTTTTCCTAGAGCAGCAAAGTGCAACATGCAACTTCTCCCTACATCACCAAAGTGCTAAAGACATGTTCCTGTAGTGGACACATCAGTGCTGTAGGTATATCGCATATTTAGATGTCATCACAGACCTTCTTCATGTACAGCTTCAATCAATGAACTTAATCTTATCTTCTTGTCCATTAGCTGACCAGCTTCAATTTGCTTTTGTCTTTATGGACTGCAAGGACACAACTTCCTCTTCACATCTAAGCTATCTTTCTTTTATGATCTTCTTTACCAAAGCTCAACATATCAGTTTGTAACAGTTAGAACTTACATCATATTATTGAGATACTACTTTTGCAAGGCGAAACCTACTCCCATCTTAGATCTGCTCGTCCGCTCTATATCCTACACGACGACAGAGGCTCTCTGGCTCATGGAGACTATGATCTCCGACAAGGTTATGGAACCTAAGAAGTCTTGGGTATATGTTGTTGGAGCCAGGTTTCACCCCGCTTCAGACTCAGTTCAAGGATTTGTTCCAAGTACTTGAAAAAACAAAATCGAATATCACCAAGGTCCAAGAAAAAATAATAGGCCCACAGAGGTCCAAACCTACTCCGAGCTGAGGAATTCTTACGACTCTAGTTTGGTCAGTTAACACGAAATGTAAAAAATCAAAGGCATTAAAAACCATCATAAAAGCATCTGATCCATGCCGGAGATCACATCACCGTTACAATCCGCCGGAAAGACCTAGAAAAGGAGGAGGAGGAGCCATAGCAAAATATATTCTCATTATATACCTCCATTGTTATCACCCTCTGTAGCAATTTGTTGATTAATCTTCAAAAACATGACCAAGTAAACAACAGCTCAGAAGTAGTTTCTAATGAAACTAGTTCAAACCACTAGGGGGAATCTCTCAGAATCAAATAATGTGAACAAGAAAGGGACAGCTGCTCAGAATAAGGTAGACCTTCCACTGCGACAAAATGTCCCCCGGACAAACAAAGGTATTAACTGTCTCTTAAAAAAACCTATATATTACTTATTGGGGAAAATTACCTCATCTCAAAAAGCTACAAAGGCGCTACTAAGAAACTGCAGTGACAAGTTCATAGAGGGTATATCCTGATGGTTCAAGAAATAGTCGACATGAAAGTCTAGGGCTAGAGACCCTTTAACCCTCTAATTTTTACCTTCTTATATGAATCTTTTTTCTGGAATATAAGAGGTATAAATGATTCTGTAAAGGGGAGAAAGTTTTGGAAGTGGATGCAAAAGAATAATCCATTTTTGGTGGTCTCGTTGAGACTGTGTACAGTCTAGTCAATCGGCTAATAATATACCGGGATGGTATTTTGAAGGCAACTATGACTACTCGGATTTAGGAAGACTGGCTCATCTGGCATCCTTCAGTTAAAGTCCGATTCTCTCAAAATCAAGCCAGATGATAAATTTCAAGTGCTGTCTTATAACGAAATACAAGGCTTCTTCTACTTATAAATTTCAGTGTTGTCCTGTGATGAAATACACCTTAAATATACTCAGGCTCTTATTTTCATCTTTTGTTTTGTAAGCAAAAGCAATAATAGTTTACAGCTCAGAAGCAGATGAAAGTATATATTGACTGATTATTTGTGTGGGTGTTAATTACTGAGGCTATTTACTGATTTCAATGTCCTCTTGTGAGAGGTTGACGATGCTCAAGGAAATTAAAAAAACTGTAATTGATTCCTTTGAGAAGGCTAGTCTACCCGAACCAAGTGATGAAGAGAGGAAGAGAATCCTGCATCTTGTGGTTGTTGGTGGTTGCCCAACATGTGTTAAATGCTTCTGCATGATTTTGTTAGAGATGATCTATTCAGACTTTATCCTAGAGCCAAATATTTAGTGTGAATCACGCTTTTGGACACCGCAGACCACATTCTGACCATGTGAACTTTCTTGTCTCTTTAAACTTTTACTAGATTTTGATCCGCGACTTCAAAAGCGCAGTTTTTTTTGTTATAAATTAATTTGGATATAAATTAGTATTTTGGATTTATTGTATATTATTATGTTATAAAGTCATAATATATCGAATAAGAAATTTTGTTAAAATTATATAATTTATGAATTAGTTTACTTGAGATTGTGTATGTGCAATCTTATATAATTCTCTCTTAAGCATACACATTTTACCAGCCCCAAAAGAACGCTGAGAAACAACACGAAATACAGGTTCATGTCCGGGATTGGGGCAAAGTATCTATTGGATTCTTTTTGGAAGTGCGAGTCTCCGTTCGAGTCTTACCAGGTATCCAAAGTACCCAAAATATTTTGTGTAAATTATGTATATTTGAGTATTTCAGTATTACATATATTTTTTTTAATTTTCAGGTTCTCTTTTTCGGTTATAGTTTCGGGTTTCATGTGAAATTTCAATTTTTTAAAAATATATTTTGGATACTTAGATAAAACTTTGAATATTTCTGGTTCATCAGGTAAGATTTGAGATAAATTTGGGGTCTTTTGGATATTTTGAATATTTTCAAGTATTTATTTGATTTTCATGTAGTTTTCGTGTTTCAGCTTAGTTTGAGTATTTTTTGGTCCTAAAATACCCGAACTGATCCGAATCATTATGTACTCAAATTACATGTATTTAGCAGGTATCAACTTCAATATCCAAAAGGAACTAACTTAAACCTAAAACAATTTTTGTTTTTTTTTTTGCAAATACCTAGTTGGGTTCAAATGTCTAGGATCCGAATAAATCAGACTTGAAAGGAACTGATTTGTACCGACCAGAAGACCCAAATGCCCTAACTAGGTATTCGGGTCTTCTGGTCGGTACAAATTGGTTCTTTTCGAACCCGGTTTGTATAATCTCAATGTAGAATTTATTAACTTTATATGCTATTCTATTTTTTTTTGATATTTTCAGTAATTAATGATAGGATAAAAAATACTCATCCGTTTCACTTTAGTTGTCATTTTAGGTTTTTTTCAAACATATTAAGAAAATGTTTAATTTTACATTTTTTCAAGATAAAAACACAGTTACCTATATACCTAACCACTTCCAACCAATAAAAAAATAGAATAGCATATAAAGTTAATAATTTTTGCATTGAAATTATAAAACGACACTTATTAAAAAAAAAATATTTACTCTACAACGACAAGTAAATTGAAATAGAGGGAGTAATAAATATTTATATATGAGTCCAACAATCTTTTTATTGTAGATTTTAGAAGGATTCACTTTTACTAGTATAGATTAAATCATGTACTTCATTTTTCTACACATAGAAACTGATATTTTGATGTTTGACTCTGTCGAGGGTTTGTAATTAGAAATTAAATTGGTGTAGAGATTGTGTTAAAAAAAAGTTGGTGTAGAGTATAATATTTGTAGGTAACAACATTTAGAAGGAAAATGTTAGTTTAGAATTCCACGTCCGGTTAATGTTAGATTTGTTAAATATATTGTTTAATTGTAGTTAGAAATTAAAATTGGTGTAGAGTATAATATTTTGTAGGTAAAATTTAGAAGGGAAATGTTAGTTTAGAATTTCACGTCCGGTTAATGTTAGATTTGTTTAATATATTGTTTAACTTCACATTTTTGGAAATATTCGGTAATATTGTTGAGTAAAGATTGGATATAGCATATCAATACATTATATTTTGTAGATATAATTTAGATAGTTTTTTTTGAGAAAATATAATTTTGATAGTTGTGTGAATGTTTCCGTAATATATATATATATATTCTGACCATATTTGTTTGTTATGAGATTGATTGCATATTTTGTTGTTATGATACAGGGAACTAAAATCTATATGAATATTCATTCAAAATGATTTTAGGTGGATATACTCATTTGATGTCGAATAACCAAATTTTAATTTTTGTTTTGATTTGAAACAGACTGGCTGGATTGAGAATACAAACCAACTAAACCGATGGTGAATATTTTCAAAGATAGTCTTCTACAGAACCTGAAACAGACAATGAAAAGCTACAGATATAATAACAAGAGAAAATTACTTAGACTAACTCTTATTTCTTAGATAATTACTAGCATAACTCTCTTCCATCCTTGCATATTAGTTTATGTGTACATTGACGAAAAAACCCTGTTAATACAAAACTACTATTTATTTTTTATCTCACTAGATAATAATTAGTAAACAGAAAAACACAATTTTACCTTTCTTCCTTGTTTGTGTTGTAAAACCAGAAAAAAAAACAGTTCCCTTATAAAAATTAGGGTTCTGATTTCTCTTTGTATACTCTTTAATCGAACAAATAGATAGAAAAGAAACCCCAACCTCGTGAATCAGAAGGGATTAAGCTTGAATAGCCCTAAAAGAGATGGAGGCGAAGACAACGATTTTGATGGCCCTCTGTATTTTGATTCAACGGCGATAAAAACGACAAGACTCCTTCTTCCGACAAGGTTTGAGCAGTGTTTTCCCATCTCCGGTCGAACTATCCGACAAGGTAAACCACACTCGCTTTCCACCATTGCTTTACCCGTGCTCTCTGTTCGTGTTCTCCACCAAAAAGACAAACTGATTTCTGGTTTAACACTATTCACCTTCATAATCTTTGTCGTCTTAGCACTCTTATATTTGATTTTGGTTGCTTCATTGTTTGGTTCTTACCTGAGCCTGTTTTTGTTGATTCATTACATGCTTTACTAAGTTGAATTCTCTGTTTAGACATTGATTTATTTTTCTTGTTTATGTTTGTTCCTCTATCATCTTGTTCTATTGCTTCATTGCATATATGTTTTTGAAAATTTTGTTTACTTAGCGTTTGCTTATGCGGTTTTTTATTTCTCTGTTGATTTACCAATTTGTTTGATTTAGACATAAAAGGTTGCTTTGTTATTTATCATAGTTGTATATATAATTTTACAGAACTTGAATTCTTTATTCTAATTTGTTTCATGCTAACTTTTTTAATTGCTAGATATGGCTTCTCTTAACAATAACCGCAACTATCCACGACTACTCTACAAAAAAGGCAAATATGGAGCCTTCGTCTTCATCATCTACATCATCACAATAATCAAATATGGAGCCTTCGTCTTCATCATCACTTGCAACTTCGTCTTCTTCCAAAAATCGTTCCTTAAGTTCGAGACATACTTGCATCACTTCCGTTTTTAGCTGTTCCAAAAATCCAGTAAATTGCCTCTGATTATTAATTTCCACAGGCGGTGTGTTTTGTGGCAACGTCACCAAAACCTTTTTCGAATACATGTAGCTCAGTTCGACGTCGTAAATCTGCTCATTAACCTTGTACTCTTTGATAACCAGATGAACAAAATCTTCATAACTAATTTGTTGTCTACGGCTATAGATTTACTTTTCGTTCCTTTCTCAACACCAAATAGCCATTTGTTTTTATCAAATATGCAATGACCACAAACAATTTTTATTTGTGCCATGAGTGAAAAGGAAGAAAAAATACTGTTACTCTCTTAACGCCATTAACGTCTTATGATGAAGGCCTTCACGTGAAGAGTGTTTGTAGATTAGGGCTTCTTTTTTTGGTTTAAATTAAGTTTTGTTTGGTTTAATTAAATAATTTTGGTTTATATGATTTTGATTCTAATTATGGCTGGTTTGAAACGGTTTGGTTTAAATTAATTTAAATTACCGGTATATGAAATAAATTTCAGAACTAAACCTTTTAATTTGGTTTGCAATAACCATGCCGGTTAAGGGAATTAAAAAAAACTGTGGCTAAGTCATAAATAAATATGTCGCTTTACTTTCAACAAATCTGTCAAATTACGATAACTCTGTGGTCAAATACTAGATAAATCTATCAAAAACTATTTAAATCGATCAAATCTGAACAAATTTGTGGTCAAAGAAAAAATAAATCTATCAACTCTTAACTAAATCTGTCATAATTAAAAAAATCGGTGGCTAAAGGATAATAAATCAGTCAACTCAGAATTAAATCTGTAAAAAACAATTAATCTGTGGCTAAAGAAAAACTAAATCTATCAAAATTTACGCAAATCTGTTAAAATTAAGTAAATCTGTGGCCAAATAAATTAAATCTTGCATAATTTGATAAGTTTGTGGCTAAACATGACATACTTTTTGTAACAAGTTTGTGAAATTCTTATTAAGTCTATAAGCTGTTTAAAAAATCAGTGGCTAAATAAAAATAATTTTAAGTTTGTGGCTACATAAAATGTGGGATGAATAAGTCTGTGGATGGCAAAATCGTAAATATTCCAAAATTTCATTAATGGCATTTTCGTAATTAATTTTTTTGTTAACAAAGGAAATAGGGGTAAATTAGGTATGAAAAACAAACTAATAATTAAAATAATATTAGAGTTAAATTAGTAATTAATCGATAATTCAAGGTTAAACTAGTTTTTTTCCCTAACAACAACTAAAAAAACTCTGATGATTTAATAACAGATGGAAATTAGATAGTGAAAATCTAAAGCTAAAGAATATGATGTCATGTTCGACAAACCTTATAACATAGAATTGTTTGATGAAACTAATTCAGGGATGGCTAGTGTATGAAGGTTAGGTTTTATGAAATAATCCTAGAGTCGATTATCGTATGTGAAGAAATGTCCATGTTCTGTTTTGTAGTTAATCTTTATCATTGGTCATTTGTACAGGCCCGACCCTGATAGGAAGCATTAGAAGCATGAGATTCTGACCTTTAAAAATATATATAAATTTTGGCTATTTTTTGACAAAACATTCCTTTAGTCTAGTGGTATTTATAAAGCAATCTGAGCTTAGCAACACTGGTTCGAGCCAGGGTTGGATCAATATCAGCCTTTTAAAAAAATAAGCTTCTGGTCCTCTGCAAGTGAGGACCGCTATTGTTTATATGTGAAAAATGTCCATGCTATGTTTTTTCGATGGTTGGTAGTCTTTTTTTTTTCCTTAAGTGGATGGTTGGACCATTTTGATAAAATTTATTTAAATTAATTATTCAAACACAAAATTTTAAAATTTGTTTTATTAATATTTAAAATGTTCTATTATAATGTTTGATTTTCACGTAATGTTTTCATATCCGAACCAGATCCATAGTTGAACCGGTACATCCAACAACTGTTATATAATCCAGTTAAGATTTAATTAAGAATTTACTAATTAAAAATTTAAGCAAATCGGTATATATCTTAAAACCCGCTATTAATCTGTATTATGACATCCATTGATCCGTTAGATAACCCCATAAAAAACTGATAGTATATTTTTAAAAATTTGTTAAATAATTCATATTTTTAATATTAAAGAAAATTGATTTTTTGTAATTTCTTTAATAAAAACTTTCTTGTCATTTGCAAAAAATGAAACAATGGTAATAGAAAAAAAAACACAATTTATTCATATGACAATATTAGTTTCTTTTCGTTATTAATAACCTATGATAAGTTTACATTTTTACTCATTTTATATCTAAAAATTAGTTCAAAAAAAAAATAGAATTAACATATCATTATTATGGATAAAATGACACAGTAAATAATAATTTATAATTTTCAATCGCTAAATAATATGATGCACGAAATATTATATTAAAATTAAATAGAAAATCATAATTTTCATAAAAGGAAAATTATTATTAATCACAAAAATATGAAATATTATCAGTTACCATAAATATAGGAGATATTAAATTGCTTAGATAATTAAGATTCTAAAAATAAATAGTGGTATCTATACTATTAAAGCAGATGACTGTTTTGGTTTCTGCCCCTGAACTTTCTAGGAAATTACAAGATTTGCCTCTTTCTTTTTTTAAAATAGTGCAAAACAAGACTTTTTCTTTTTATTAAATGGGCTTCACGAAATATTAAATGGGCTTCACGAAATAGGCTTAAATATTTCGGATCTGCAAATGGGCTATAACATCTTCAAATGTTATAATCCTATACCCTAAAATCTATTCAGATAATCCTATACCCTAAACTCTATTCAAACCCTATGCAAACCATATTTACAATCCAGTTCCCTAACCTTATTTTATTACAGTAACTGAAATGTGATTTATAAATACTAACTCTATTCAAATTAATCCAATACTAATGTATACAATCTTAGTTCTTAAATAAATCCTATACCCTAAACTCTATTCAAACCCTATGCAAACCATATTTACAATCCAGTTCCCTAACCTTATTTTATGTATAGTAACTGAAATGTGATTTATAAATACTAACTCTATTCAAATTAATCCAATACTATTGTATACAATCTTAGTTCTTAAATAAACAAATTATGTTATGCAAATTCACACGATAATGAAAATTCCGAGAATTGAAACCCATGTTAAACAACTGATAATTTCGAGTAAGATTATGAATAACAATAATATTGGGATACTCATATATATTCAGGTAAGATTCAAAATTTATTGACTAAAGAGAATATCTATGGATTTTCCAAATACTAATCTTAATCAATATTCAATATTAAATGGGCGATTTAAGCAGATAATATATTCTGTTCACCTATATTTATGGATTTTCCAAATACTAATCCTAATCAATATTCATTACTATAGAGAATATCCCCCAACTTTCTTCCCAAGTTTTCTCTTAAAACCTAAGCACGTCCCTTATATTTAAAATAGACAGCACTTTATTCCGATTATCTCTACACGCCTTCAAACAAAACAGTAAACAAAAAAATGGCTACTACAATGCAAATCCAAGCATCAAGAAGTTCTAATGATAAAGTGGTCCTTTTACACGACTTGAAACCATGGAAAAACACATGGTTGGTTCATGTAAAGGTTTTACATGCTTGGAAAAAAACATTCAATCCGTGGAGACCATTCCAAACAAAGAAAGGTCAGCGAAATTCTAATCAGAAAGAATTATTGAGAAAATGATTAGGTCATTGTCGGCAGAATTTGTGTCTTTTGACTTTATCAGAATCCGATTTTTAAAAAAATTAATATTGAAGGGTCAGTTTTTTTAGTCAATATACTTTTGGGCCCGTTTATAGTATCTCGCAGGCCCAACTATTTTTGCACCAAATCGATAGCATTGGTATATATTTGAACCAATTTTAATATATACTAAACCAATGTACCTAAAAACCCTAATAACTCGACGTGAAGAATTATTTAAGCCGCTTTAACAGAAAGTTATTCTTTACAAAAACTTTTCACAGAGACAAAACCGGAAAATATGGCCAACGAAGTTCCTTTGAATTCATTGCAATACCAATGTCCAACTCAGGAAAAGGTATAATAATTTTCTTATTCTTTTTTATTTCATCATTTACTTTTTATCAATAAAAATAAAACCATTTAATTATTCAGATCAATCAAAATCATATGATTTTGTTATCCACTTATAGTTAAAATAAATTTTTATTCAAAAAAAATGTTCAAAAAAACAAAAAAGTAAAAACAACAAAAAAATAGAAAAAAAATTGTTCAAAAAAACAAAAAAGTAAAAACAACAAAATAAATACCCGCGCTTTTTAAGCGCGGGTCAAAATCTAGTTATCTTATAAATATGATAAGACTGTAAGAGAAGGCTGTACGAGATATGGGAAGCTTTAAGGCTCTGGTAAGACTGAAGGGAGTTATGAACAAACTCGTTGGGCCTGCTCAGTCCAGTTTCATTCCAGGGAGATTAAGTGCAGATAATATTGTCGTGGTTCAAGAAGCGGTCCATTCAATGAGAAAGAAGAAGGGACGGAGGGGTTGGATTCTGTTGAAGTTGGACTTGGAAAAAGCCTATGATAGGCTGCGCTGGGATTTCTTGGAGGATACATTACGGGCAGCGGGATTGTCTGAGGAGTGGGTGGGTAGGGTTATGGAATGTGTCTCGGGACCAGAGATGTGTATCCTGTGGAATTGTGAGAAAACTGAGTCGTTTAAGCCATCACGAGGGCTCCGACTAGGAGATCCTTTGTCTCTGTATTTGTTTGTGTTGTGTATAAAGAGACTCTGTCACTTAATTGATGAAGCCGTGGAAGAGAAGGGATGGAAACCTATACAGTTGTCAAGAGGTGGCCCTCAGTTGTCTCACATTTGTTTGGCTGATGACTTGATTCTATTTGCTGAAGCGTCAGTTACACAAATCAGAGTGGTGAGAAAAGTGTTGGAAAAATTTTGTAAGGCATCAGGGCAGAAAGTTAGCCTTCAGAATTCTAAAATTTTCTTTTCAAGTAATGTCTCCAGAGGGAGGGAGGAACAGATAAGCAGAGAAAGTGGCATTGCTTCAACCAAAGAGTTGGGAAAGTACCTGGGAATGCCGATGCTACGGAAGAGAATTAATAAGGATACATTTGGGGATGTCCTTGAGAAGGTGGCTTCGAGACTTGCGGGATGGAGGAAGCAGACGCTTAGCCTTGCTGGAAGAGTCACGATGACTAGAGAAGTGCTATCATTGATACCAGTTCATATGTCAACGATAAGCTTACCCGCAAGCAC